GTAAAGGATTAACCAATTGAACCACCGCACCAGCCCCAACAAATAAATCTTAGGAAACAAATTAGATAGCTTTCAGCCACTGCAGAAACAAACAAAATAATGTTGTTCTGCTCAAGAAGAGAAAATATAAAAAATATGCTTTGAAGGAATTATACAAGAGCAAAATCCAATTTCCTTGTGGAATTGACAGAGAACCCAGGAATTAATTATTCTGCTTTTGCAAAGGAAGGGCAAAAAAAAATACAGTAGTCTAGTTTTATAAAAACATGTAGTTGTTTTCTGCTTGTTTGTTTTAAGGGCAGGTTTAGAAAGAAGTTCCCTGGCTTTTCTTGAGCTTTTGGCTTAAGACATATTTTATAAACATTTTCCAATAATGCAGGAAAATAAAATGCCTGAAAAATAAGCTTTCTGACTCAGCAAACGCTCTTGACAGAGCAGACACACCACAGAGGGCCTGTCACACCGTGAGCCCGAGCCGCTGCCCCGTGAAGCTGCCCCACTGGCTTTGGCTCAGGTGACCTCCACCGCAGAACCTGCTGCAGCACCAGCAGGTCTCCACTGCTCATTTACCAACACAGTGGCATTGCTTCCTGGCTTCCTCAGACGTTCACTGTCAGACAGCACGTCAGACAATTCGGTGCTTGTTTAACTGCTCCCCTCATCTCCTGTCCAAGGACACCAACTAACAACACGCTGACCCCAATAAGGCTTTCATCACTGCTCCTCCCAGAGAGCTGGATTTGGAACTCAATTGATAAAAAAAAGAAGTGATATGTGATGAGGTCTCTTGTAAGAGGTTGTCAGTCTAAATGATACTCTCTCCACAACTGTGCACTGTTTAGTATCTGGAAGGTACATGAGTGGAAAGTCCTTTTGAGTATATATTCCTCAGTGGTTTCTATGGAGACACGCAAAGCTAGAAAACTGGATTGAAACTATCATCTGATAATCACCACCACATGCAAATCTTGAAGCACCACTTTCCGGAAGTCTCCTATCTGCCAGGACTCCCTGCAGCTGCTGCATCTGACCATGGCACACGAGATGCCACCATCACAGCCTCTCTTCTTGGTACCTCCATTCCCTTCCAGTGGCGACTTGAACCCCTCTGGAGTGGCCAGTCACGTGTCCAGGCATACTGCCTCTGGACACATCAGCAGATCTCAGTCACCGATTTAAATTGCAGCCTTCCGGGCTTCTCATCAGCCCTCTGCAGGATGACCCCGCTCACGTTTCCCCAATCTCTCCCTCTTATCCTCCCTTCAACTTTCTTGCATCCTTTTCAAATCCAATCTTACCCTGAAGCATATTACTCTATTTGGCCTTTTGTCTACAGTTATAAACGTTGGTAAAGTTGACAACTTCAATTAAAAGAAGCTTTTAATGTCAAGTTCTGAAGCACAAGAGTGATAAAAAGAGCCACAGAAGAGACAAGGATCAATAGTAACCTCATTCCAGATCCTCTCTGGCCTGGCCCAGACCAGCCAACTACATTAATTATAAAATGTAATTTATCTTTTCACTGCTTCATGAAAAAATATGTGAAACCTCACCACAACCTAAGAGAACATCTCTGCTGAAGTATGCCAATTGCCAACATTTCTGCAAGAACACCTTCATCTCAAACGTTTCATTTAAGAGCTTTGTTTTACTTAATAAATACTTAAAGTCACATATTAGCAACTTACAGAAACGCACTCACAGACAACAAATAACTCTAGCAAAACATCCTGGTTCCCCTTTCTGAGAAACTCCACCATCTCCTAGAAGATGGACGTATCAGTGTACGCGTCCTTACTTAAACCTGAAAGCAATTAGAACGAAGGTGTAAGGAAAAGATGGAAACAAATTGGTTTCAAATGAGAACCACAGACAAAGGAACCAAGAGAAAGAATGGATTCATGCATCGCCTCCAAGCAGGTGCCTGCTGGCCCAGGAGCCACATCGGGGTCTCAACAAGCACACTGCCTACAGGAGAGGTGGGCCTCATTTCCTTCATTTCTGCTGCTGCTTCTCTTCTCTTCATTCCCTATGACTTTAAAGCAACTGAAGCATATTCCATGTTTTTAAAGAGCTGTGGCAAATCAATGGGAAAACCTTAAAAACCCTTTCTTTTTATGTAATATCTCACAAAATATTTAAATTTCACATTTTTTTTTCCTTGTAGAAGAGGAATGTTGCCTCTTTTGGTCTTTGTATGTTAGCACAGATCTCATAAAAGTTTTAAAATTCTAGTCTAAACCAGATGGTAAATCTGAATTTAATCAACAACGATAGCTAGAGAGCTGAATTATCACTCTCATCAATATTAAAAGGGTGGTTAAAGATCACTTCAGCTTAAGGAGGTGATGAATTATATCATTTTTCTGGATGGGAGAGACTCTGAGACACACGACAGGTCCGTCTTTCGAACGCCCTGTGTGTTCAGGAACAGCTGAGGTTCACCGCGGTCTCGTAAGCGCAGGCCACACAACGCTTCTCTTCTTTACCAGTCTACTCACATGAGAATCAACAGTGGGTATATTCAAGTTCATGTGTATACATTTGAAGTAAAATATTTAATTTTTTTCTGAAGTAACAATATGAAAGGCATGTTCAATTGCTGACTACCAAATTTCTTTGAGGGACTCTTGGCCTAACTACTGATTATTCTAAGCTCGTCTTGTGATATACATTAAGGGAAGCACAATGAATTATTCCACACCTTCAGGGGTGAGAATCAACCATGCAGGATGGATGACTTCAGGACCTGGAGGAGCCTGGTCTTCTTCGGCATACTCATCACTCAGCTAAATCCTCCACTGAGCTGACTCGAATATCGGATGCAGAGGCTGCACGAGCTTAGTCATGACTCTCCACGCCTCTGGACCATGACAGCCTCCCACGCCACCAGGCCTGGTTCTGGGGAGAGCCCTCGGTGCTCACATGGCGCGAGGACTCCCAGCGATAACACACCGGTGACGCTTCAGCCTCATTTCCCAGAATTCCACGCTTTCCATGTCTTTTTTGCTCTTAAATTTTGTTCTTAAAACTCCCGTCAAATGGTACATGGTAAGACCTTATATCATTAGTAAAATGCAATAATTTATTACCTGTATATAAAGAGAGGGACCCGAGGACCAGTTCCCTTAGCAGAGTCGGCCAGGAGAGTCTCAGTGATCCAGGCCAACAAACTGAGCGCTCACAGGCTGAGTGCCCAAGATACAGGATGAAGTGGGTCAGGAGCTCACAGGGACAGTGACTCCTCAGGGAAAGGCCAGGCTGCCCAGTGAGCCCCTCACAGCAGGAGGCTGCTTTTAATCCCAGTCTCCTCAACCACAGCTGTCATGTGCTGCTTCTGGATTCTATACAACATTACAAAATAAACAGCAATATTAAAAGTTACAGGCTGCCCAAGACCTTCAGTGCATTTTCCATTATTATTTTTTTAATGTATTATTTTATATTATTTTTAAATCTATTTTTTTCTGCCTAGGTCTCACAGATTAATTATCACAAGGTAACAGACCATTAAGTCACTGAAAAAAAGGGAATGTGAAATATTACAGAAGTTGTAATACTGCTGCAGTAGTCCTAAGAATTTAATTTTAAATGTTTTATAACACTTCACAGTTCAAAACAGAACAAATCAATAAAACTCAACATATAATGCAGCTTTTCTGATAACATTTCATAAAAGAGTAATTAAAGTGAATACATTCTGTCTTATCACTTCTATCACAACTTCAACAGGTGCAAATAAAAGCTATGTACTGAGTGTTATCATCAACTCGACCAGGAACAGGAAGGAGCAGAGAAGAAAGGAGCATTGAGAAATCCTATGCCAAATATTGCTGTGGTGCTGGAAAGGTCGCTGGCACCCATCAGGGCATTAATGCACTCTGCGAACTGAGCCACAATGCCACTCCTGCCCTGGTCAGACATCCGCCCTGGACTCCGCCCAGTCTACCATGTTGTCACCCACAAGGGGGCCTCCCACCTTGCTCTCACAATGTCCTGCCACAAAGCTCACAGTGAAGAATTGCATTATGTAAGTCCCTCTGAGTTTCAGCTTTCAGACCAATAAATAGATTGTCAAAAATATTTCTGTTAAAGTGTAGGAAGCCAATCCCGCCTGTCCTTGAGCAGGACAAGCTTCAGAAGCAAGTGTGTCCCGGTCTTACCTTGCGGTTTTTTTTTTGTTTTTTTTTGTTTTTTTTGACGTGAGAATGTGGCCCGTGAGGTTCTTCCCTCCAAGCACCCAGAGTGGCGAGAGGGAAAGCCTGCCCCTCTTGGAGGGAGATGTTCAGCACTACTCCTAGCCCAGATGGGTTGGCTGGTTACCCGCCAGTAAATCCTGCAAGTTCTGACAACCTCAGCTACGTCAAGAGATTGAAATGGGCTTTGGCTTACCAACTAAATTTTCCCTTTAGTTATGATAAATTAAGGAATGCAGTAAGAGCAGGATAGGATTAGAAGACAGAAACATTTGAGGTGTCCTGAGAATACCTCATTAATATTAAAATGACATGAATACAGGTGTCTCCGAGCAGCTGTTGTGAGGAAGAAACCATGACACAGTATGGGGTCATGCAAAAGAAGCACCTTTTATAGTCCTCAACATTTATTTATTTCAATGGAAGTTCTCACTTTCACCAATTCCAAAAATGAAAGCAAAATCAAAAGTGAATGAATCAGTGACTGGCTGCAGGAGAAGAACAGAAATTCCTTACTACATTGTGTGGAAAACAGGGCATACTTTAGGAATCAAAGCTCAGATGGGAGTTCATAAGACGTCAACTAACGTTCAATCAACAGAGGCAAGTGTCTGTGCCTCCTGCTCTAGGAAAGAATAAAACATGAAACTTGCAAATTCAGCAAGGTCAGGGAGCTATTTTTCCAACAGCGGTAAATGAAGCCCAGGGTGGGGAAGCACATTTGAGCCAGAGCTCCTGCCCACGTGCAGTGCGTTGTCTTCAGTGACTTCTGTCGCATAGGAAACAGACAGGAAAGCAACTCACCATGTCGTAGGTTGTTACAATCTTCTTCAGGACCTCTGGCACGATACCCTGCAGCTCCATCGTGGGGTAGGGCTCGCTGAGGTTCAGGACTACCAGGGGGCTGTTATCAGGTCCCAGGAAGCGGGGGGACACGGCCAACATGCACTGCATGAGATTGGCCACAGAGGACAGGCCACACAGCTCCTTAAAGGACACCACTGCGTTCTGTTAAATGGAAGGAAAGGTGGCACAGTTAACCAGGGATTTCGATGTCTCACGGATAGGATACTGATTATACTTGATTATACTGGTACGACAGTTATTATCAATTATATGACAGAATGGCTAATGACTGCTTTATTCTGGGAAAAATGGCTATTTCCCAAAGTAAATATAATTATAGATATCTGTAATAAAAACTTATCAAAAGTACTGAAAATGCAAATAAGTCAAATTCTTCAAAAGGGCAAGGCCTCTTTTCAGATCAAAGTTCATAGTACAGTCAAGGTTGACAGGCAAATATGAACAAACAAAAGGAATGGCTTCTACATTTGCAAAGAGATAGGAAAAAAATCAAATTGGGTTTAAAACACATAGCAAACAAACCACTTACCCTACCAAGGGAAGGGCTACTAATGAGGTAGGAGCTTGAGTCCCTCTCATCTGTGTGCAGGCTGCAGCTGCCTCGATTCTTCTCTCTTTTTAATGATCAGAGTCTGCCATTAAATATCCATTCAACCACTGACTCCGCATCCACGGTGTGGATGAAGTAGTGGCTTTAGCTATAAACGCTGCTATCTGTAGAGTCACACAGCTAATAAGTGAGAGTCAAGATTTTACTTGAAAACTGTTGATGTTAAGGTCTGTATCTTTAATCACCATGCTATAATAAAAGGTCAACTCTGCTCACAATATGATTCCAAGCACTCTTGAGGTCCTGATCTGGGCTTTGCAGGTGGCCAGAAGAAAAGATCCAGGCCCTGTAGAATTTGTGTCTTTTGCTCTTAAATCACCTGGGTTCTTGGGAATGAGCAACACTTCGAACGTAAGCATTTTATCTTTATTAATATTCCTTTAAAGATTTATTGCTTTATTAGAAAGGCAGATTTATAGAGAGAAGGAGCAACAGAGAAAAAGATGTTCTATCCACTGGCTCACTCCCCAAGTGGCCACATGGCTGGAGCTCAACTGATCTGAAGCCAGGAGCCAGGAGCTTCTTCTAGGTCTCCCAAGTGGGTGCAGGGTCCCAAGGCTTTGGGCCAACTTCTACTGCTTTCCCAGGCCACAAGCAGGGAGCTGGATGGAAGTGGGGCAGCCTAGACATTAACCTGCACACATATGGGATCCTGGCATGTGCAAGGCAAGGATTTAGTCATTCAGCCATCATGCCAGGCCCTAATATTTGTTTAAACTGAGCATCAACCTATGTAAATTTTTCTCAAAATCTCCTAGACATTCACTGTATATGTCATCTTCCTATATCTAAGTGGGGTCCGCAGGTAACTCCCTATTCTGTTTTCTTCACATCTCTTACTTGGATCTGTAGTGGTCCCATTTGTTAATCTGCCTGCTCCCTGTCTGTTTCCCCTTTCCAGTGTCACCATTCAGCAGAGTGCAAGCTTCCCCAGGGCAGGCAGACCATCTGTCTGTCCACCGCTGTACCCTGGAGGGTTAAAAGGCCTGCACTCTGCAGGTGCTGCTTAAACATCATGCCAGCTGCTCTGACAGGTCCATGCAGACACATGGGCCTGCAAGAGATGCTGCCTAGAATCTGGAAAAGTCTCAGGGGAACTCTGTCACACCAAGCAGCAGCTGGCTGGGAGGCAACAACGTGGCTCACTCGGAGTCGAGGGTTTACTGAGCCACATTCACCGACTCTCAGAAAGCCATGGAAAAGCCCTTCCTATTTGTGAAATGCTCTTATCTAGAGGCGTGTGGACAAATCTCAAAGACCTTATTCCTCACTGCCTGAAGTCATTACATGTTGACTTAATGAATTATTATCTTAGATTGCTAATACATACAGACATCTTGAGTGCTTTACTTTTATACAATCAGCTATCCTCTAAAATCAAGATGAGTTCAATAAGTTAAGGCTCATTTTAGGGCCCATGATCTCCCCGGTGCTGCGGCACCATCAGATGTGCCTATTACTTTAAACTATATCTATTTTATCATCCATCTGTGTTCTAGTTGAGGAATGTTCAGAAATACCAGGCAGTCGCATGTATGCTATTAGAGAGAATGAAGAACTGCTAACTTCAGAGGGACTGAGCGGAGCAACAAGACGAGTGTATTTTAACAAGCAATCAATATGTTCCATAGCAACTGCAGTTTTGGCGAAATGGAAATTTAAAATTTAAAAGTTCAGCATACAGTTGTAAGCTGGGTATCAGTACCGCAGGGACCAGTGCTCAGTAAGAAGAGGGCCGAGTCCCTACCTGCATGTTCTCCCGCAGGTCCGTGGCGTCCCGGATCGGGGGCTGCGCGTTCTTGAACACCTCGTCCACAGTTTTAATCCACAGTGTTCTCAGAGATGCATACTCCCTGGATTTCTTCCCTTTTCTCACAGAAAGGCCCCTTTTGTGAGGTTTCCCTCCTCCTCTTCGGTTCGTAATAGCCACGTGGACGAAGAGCGAGGCATGAGCTAGGACCTCTCCCGTCAGGGACTGCAGGGGCACGTGGCGGTAGCCAGTCTGCAGGCACTCGAAGGGGATTGTGTACTGGCCAATGAACTCGTCCCCGATGTAGTCATCGTCCAGCACTACGAAGCGCACCATGGCCAGCTCGGGCAGATTGATTTGGAATTCAAAGCTCTCATCAAAGATGGGAGCGTCTCCATTCTGGTGCACGGTTTTTGTCCTCTGCTCGGCGCAGTCGGCGGGGATCCCGTGGATTTCAACATAGACGTAAGGATCCACCACGTCGCCTTTGGCACCTGACCCTTTGGGTTTAGGGAAGTTCTGCCCGCTGATGATTTTAATGTGAAGGAGCTGAGGTGAGACGCCCGGCACGGAATCCTTGGTGTTGGCGCTGAAGAAGGACACCTCCTCCCTCATGATGGCCGGCCGCAGGACATAGCCACAGTTGCCGTTCTGCCTAAACCAGCCGATGTTCAGGTCCATCATCAGGCCTGGCGTCTGGAAGTTCATCGCTACAATCTGACAGCCACATTTCCAAAAATCTTGAGGGTTCATGTTACTTGAGTCAATCCTCATGGGACTAGGGAACACCCGAGCCAGGAAACGCTTGTTGTAATTTACAAAGTCCCCGGGGTTCTCATTAGCGTATTTGCTGGCCAGAACTTCGTTGAAGGAACATACCTCCCAGTACTTCTGCACCTGAAATGACACCTGGAACTCCTTGAACTGGACGGACTTGCAGATGCTGACCAGTTCCGACAGCTCTTTGCAGAGCTGGAATCGCTTCACTGGCATGTTGTTGGGCTGCTCCACGTTCTCTTTCCCCATCCTCTGAGACATTTCTGCTCCTTCATCTTCATCAGTCACATCTCCTTCTACTCCGGAGCAATTTGAGGACAGCTTCTTGGCTTTAATTAGTATTTTCCCTTTCAGGACATCTGGGGATGGCAGGTAAGATTCCTCAACATTGGGTGATGTTGTGTAGAGCTTGTCTCCTAAAATTTTCTTCATGTGTTGAACCATCACCTTTTGCTGTTTAATGGAGCAGTGATTCTCTAAACACAAGATGAGAGGGTATTCGGAAGCAAAGAACGCGTACTTGTTAATGATGTCGATGACACTGCGGAACACGATCTGAGAGGTCATGGTGTGACCTGTGTAGATCACAGGCTCATTATCTGGCCCATCCCACACGTCCAGTTCAACACTCCGGCAGCCCATCTTAAGAGCGCGGATGTAGCCTGTGATGTCAGAGGGACCCCGGAACTGGTCCTCTATTAAGTACGTGTTATGAGATGAGTTGATAAAGTAATGGGAGAGAGGCTGCTTCATATCCTGACAGACCTTCTTGTGTTCTGGATCAAATATATAACAGTCAGATGACATAAGGTAATTAGTAAACCCGTCGATCGAGAGCCAACCTTTTTCTTGACCCTCTTTGGATGGCTCATATTTGTGAATGATTTCAAGACTTATTTCCTCATTTATATGTGCCACACCCTGTTCTGCCTCAAGGAACATCATAAGGTCCTTGGTATCAAGGAACTCTTTATTGCTCGAAAACTGAACTAAAAGGAAATAAATTTCAGGCCTAGTACAAAGCTCATGGAAAACCTCAACAAACTCTTCTTTTGTGACATCAGTACCACCTTTGTCCTTTGACTTGTGCAATTCTTTGAACTTGAGCTCAATTTTGCTCGTTTTCAAACCAGGGTTGAGGTTTCTGATGCACTGCACAGCACTACACAGGGCTATGTGTCCAAGGTTATCTACGTCAATGTCACTGAACATTTGTGAAATCCAAGAAGTCCTCATGTTGTCTTGGCTACTTTCTAACATATCAAGGGTATGCTTTCCATAAGAAATGAGGTACCGCAGTCCTGTGACCCAGATGTTTGCAATATCTGCAGAGTTGGCAACTAGATCAAGTGACTCATAATTCTCTCCGTAAATGACCGAGAATGCGCAATCTTCAGATATCTGATCTGAAATGCCATTGCTGCGGAATATGTCTGTATTTTTTCCTGTTCTCACTTCCTTGATGGACTTAATATCAATCTTGGCTTTCTCGGAATCCTTCTTAGATGGCTCCCACCTCAGGCTCTGCATGTCGGCATCTAGCAAAAAATACCGATGGTATATTCGGGAGTTGGAGCGAACCTTTTTGAGTTCTGAACCCTCAACCATAGAGTTGATGCAGTCGCTCGCGCTGCTGATCTTCTTCTCTGTCGGCATGCTGCTGAACGACACTGTCTTCTTCCGTTCCCTCTTTTGCTTTGTACCATCCTGGGAGGAAAAAACAGTGCATTAAAATAACAAGAACAGAGTTTAGGTTTAGTCCTAGGAATGGCAATTTAATTTCCTTGATTAAAATGACACAATTACGATTCCCTGTTCCGAGTCCTGTGATTAATGATGTCATTCATCTCTAAAGCCCAAGAGGTCTTGGAGCTCACAGCCTAGCGGCCACAGGTGAGAAATCATTACTGAATAAATGCAATTTGTATTTACTAAGAAACACGGTTTCGGTATCATTCCGTACAACCTTGTGTACAGAACAGACCATGTACTTTTCAGGGCCCAGAGCAAAATGAAAATGTCGAACTCCTTGTCCACAAGTGACTGGATCTCCGGAGAGGACAGAAGAGCATCACTCCCCGAGCCCTAAAGCTTGTCTCGTAGGAGCAGAGGCCTATCCAAAGGTTCAGATCATAAGCCTACATGTTTGAAAATTCACCTCCTATATCAACATTGCTCAAAGGCTTGTCACCGTGTTCTCTGCCTCAGGATCAACCGGGTGGTGCAGTTAAAGCGCAGAGTCCTACTTGCATGGAATCAAATCTCTGGGGGTGGTGCCAGGAATCTGCATTTCTGGAAGCGCCCCACATGATGGCTAGGCACACTAAAGTATGATAACCACCTCCTGGCCCCTTGGGCTCACTACCATGTGTGGACTGGCTCTTTCACGTTTTAGATTAGTCATTGCCTGAAATACTTCAGATAGGTTTCATATTGCATTAAGCCAATAGAGGAGACCTGGATCATAACTGAAAATGCTTCTGAAATCCTAGTGTTGATCTTATTAAAACCTACTACCATGTACCAGACTAATGCTTAGCACAATTATCAATTAAATACTTCTAGTACTTATAAAGTAGTAATACTTGCCAAGTGAAAATCTTCAGGCAGCACTTACGTCTCAGGAAGTTTGCATCAATGCTGTACTCTTTAGTATCCCTGCCTAATGTAACACCTTCTCACGTTTAGAGACTGACAGCACGTCTAGCAGAGTATTTAAGTCCTCTGTATAGATATCTTGATTATTCGGGGGGGGGGGGAAGAAATTGTGCAAATTGCTCTAAAACTTCTTTCATTAACCTAAAACAGGAGACTGCTTTTCACGAGGTATAAGAAATAAATGATAATTTTTCAGCAAATCATTTCAGACAAAAATAAGGAATAGGGATGGAGTTAAAATTATATAACTTTGTGATAACAAAGACAAAAAATGCAAAATATTACACTAAGGAAATTCTAATTTTCCTGCTCTGGACAGAATATATTTTAAATAATTCTTCTTTATATTTTAAAAAGTAATTACACTATTCTTTGTCTGGAATTCAAAATGCATGCTTATTTTCTCTACCCACATTTCTAAGCAATTTGCAGAAGGCAACGAATTTAAACTTTCAATCATATGGGTATCATTTCTCTTAAAAGTTTCAAAATGAACCGTAAGGGCTTTGTAATCAGATTGCCAAGATAAAACCTAAAGGCCACAGGCAGATTACTTCTCTACAAAGGAATCCTCAAAACAATAAATGCAAAACAGGTAAGAACGGTGGTAATTGCATCTATATAAAACTCTGAAGTGTGGCTGTTTCAAATCCCTAGAGCACAGACTGTATTCCATCTCTTCAAGTGAGTAGGCATGAAATTAAATTTGTAATCACCCATGCATAAAAGCATGAAACAAATGTATAAATTTCCTATTTCCTCAGAATGAAAGATGTTTCTACTTTTAAAAAGACATTTTCATTTGCTTTTGATAAAGACGCATACTAACTCAGTAGAGAAATTTTATAATCTTAAGAAATTATATTGTAATGGTATCACTAGTAATGTAGAAGTCACAAAGATAAATGGCAGTATTTGTCCATGAAATGTTATATAGTGTTTTCTTAAGACTGTAATCTTTTATTCTGTTATTTTTACATACTGATCAATACTCTTAATTTATTACAGGTAGGCATTTTGAAGTAATATGTTTCTTTGTTGTTAAGAGGGAGGACCAAATGACAAAATAGGCTCATGACATAAATGCATGCTCACCTATGCAGACCTAAGCAGCAGTTTTAACCCCAGGCCTTAGAAACATGACCTTGCTTGTCACAAGCCAGCCCTGGCTTTAACTGGTGCCTCTGGTCCCTGACTGCAGACTGCATACGACGGCCACCCAAGCACAGGCTGACAGAACGACGGCAGGGACACCCTGCCCGGGAGCCTCTGGCCTCCCCTTCCACTGTATGCTGTGACGTAGAATCATCCGGGCCTCTCCACAGAACACCAAGGCCTTTCTAGAGAGACCGGCAACCCCTTCCTCTCTCACAGAGAAAGCTGTCAGAAAACAGATAGGAGAGTGTGCTTGTTTAGGGAACCCCCCCAAAAAAACCGAACAGGTGTGAGATGCATCTCAGTCTTTTATATCAACCTTGCTTCCGTTCTTCAGCCCCAGCACTGACAAAACTTGCCTAAGCTAAGAAGCAGCTGGTCACTGTCAGAGTTAGACTCTATCTTCTATGTTGCTTCACAGCATAAGTTAGTCTAAACTTAAGTATGGAAATACTCAAACTATACATGCTGTACATAGCTTTTTTTTTTTTTTTAACTGGAGAACACTAAATGAAGGTTAGCTACATGCACTGACTACATAAATCTAGAGAAAAATAAACAGGTTTCTGGTGAGGTGGGTATGGCTCAATATACTTTTTTAAAAAAGAATATAATAATTTCTCCGAGTTGGCTATAAATGCGTACATTTTAAGTACTCATCACCCAAACCATCTTAGTGGTGAGCACAGAGGGAACGCTTCGTGGGCGGGTCTTTGGCTTGGCTTAGGGATCCTGCGTTCAGTGCCACAGGGCCCGGGCCCAGCTGGTCCTCCGGCTCTTGGCCCCAGCTTCCAGCTAAGGCACACCCTGGCAGGCTGCACTGCTGGGTCGTTCACGTCGCTGGGTCTCTGCTGCCCCAGGAGGAGAACTGGTGGGACTTCCCTGCTACTACATGCAGCCCAGCTCAGTCCCCGTGGCCACTGCAGGCACCTGGGGAGTGACTCGGAGGATGGGAGCCCTCTCTGGGCATCTGTCCGTCTCTCCGCCTTTCAGAGGAAAAATTAAACGAAAACAAACTTGATCCACTGGTACATTACTTGGTTAGCAGTTTTTAAAATGAAGAAAAGGAGCATGCACAAAGAAGTCCAGTTTAGGGGAAAAAAAACTTCCAAAAGAAATTCCCTCTATATCAACCCTGAAATTTGTGTTTATTGATAGATAATCATAAACTAGAAAAAAATCTAAAAGATTCATTTATACATTACCCACCACTTATTTATAAAATTACAATTTTGGGAAAGAAATGATTTTCGATAAATAATGAACAGGAAAGAGATTGCACATGCTTTTCTTTTATCACCACAAATTCAAAAGAATAAAAATATAGAGCCAATATTTGGCATTAAATGGAAATAGTCACATTAAGTCCTCTGGGGGAAAACATTTCTAACAAAAACGTCCTACTTCTTATTAGAAGGTTGTCATGAAAAACAGATAACCACCTGGGACAGATGTTTGGTGCACTGGGCCCTACAGGATCTTTCAGGACCCCAGCATCCTGGAGTGCCTGGTTTGAATCCCAGCTCCTCTGCTGTCGATCCCAGCTTCCTACTAGTGCACACCATGCAAGACAGCAGATGATGGCTCAAGTATGTGGGTCCCTGCTTCCCACACGGGGACCTCGACAGAGTTCCAGCACCGAGCTTTGTGACCATCTGGGGGAATGAACCAGAGGATAGAAGGTCTCTTTCTTTCTATTTCTCCTTACCTTTCAAAAACATGAAAAAAAAAAAAAAGGACGCAAAATACTTTTAAAAAGTTATGCTACATTTAAATTACCATCTGGAAATTCTAAGAAATTATAGCAATTTCATGGACAGGTATGGGCAGTTTCATTCTGAAATGAGGTGACAGAGTGGACCTCAATTTTTTCTACTGGCAACAATGTCCAGGAACTGACTCAGTGGATCCAGCTGGTTCTGGAGGGGAGGAAGCTGATGGTCTAGAGGGCCACAGATGGCTAACGCCCTGCTGGAAGAATCCTCTCCTTTGCTGCTACATTCCGGCTTCTGCCTGGTTTCCCTCAGTAAGCAGCATGAGGAACAGATGCCTCAGCATCCAGCGACATAGTGAGCAAGTCAGGGAGTGGTTCTGGTGTACAGGACAGAGGGATACAGAGTGGAAGAGGGTGTGGTTGTGAAACAAAGCAATGGTTTACCCTCTGGTCTGTTCTGAGTCAAGTTGTTTGATTGGAATTATAAATAACACCAAAGAAAGCTATGGGTTCTTTGTGTTTATCGAAGGGGGTCCGGGGTTAGACAGGTGAGGAACACAGCATTCAAGCAATTTCTTTCAAAAACAAAACAAAACATTAGGACTTGTGGTCCAGCAAAGGAAAACAGCAAGGCCTCACATTTTTCAGCTCAATAACAGTAACTCTGAATCAAAAGAATGTCATGCCGGGCGCATGAGGGCTACCTTGCAAGGTTTCCTACATATCTTTAAAACTTTGATGTGCTCTCCAAGATAAGCAAAAGGAAAGAGAAGGGGAAAAAAAATAGATCTGAGGCAAAATGGTCACTCTTCAGGTCATTTTATAAAATAAGATGAATTGAAGAATAAAATAACTAATAGAAAAGCTAAGTATGGTCAAATGCTGCTTCCCAGTCATGTCGAAGGGCCCTTTATTAAAGTAACAGGAAGCTCCTTGGCCCATGGAAACCTCTTGTGCTCATCCTCCATTCCCAAGATGCACTCTACCGCATTCCAAAGGCTCCCCCATCCACGTTTGGTTAGGAGTCCATGAGGGCAGGGTCTGTTGATGGCTTGGGAATCTATGGGTCACTTCAATGCCATCAAGTGGAGGCAAGTTTGGATGCCTTAAGATGCAGAAAGCTATGCTAACAAGAAAAAGCCAGTCTATAAAACTGGACTCCTTCTTGTACCCAACAGAG